GAGCCAAAGTTGATGTTTGCTAACCTTATTATTTTTTACTTAAGATCGAAAGACTCATATCTCATAAAGACTTAAACAATATTTGCTGTAACCTTTTTGGACTTTGGTAGGAAAAAATAACTTCTACGCTTCATTGTAACGAATTATTTTATAGTAACATATGAAGTCTTGAATAGTTTTCAAATTAAGAACTTGCTTTGGAAGCATTCTCCACAATAGAGTACCAGAAATTCAATTGTTTTTTTCCCTCCTCCCTCCTCCTGCTTTTTTTCTATATACAAGGCAGCAAAGTTCCTATCTATTTATTAAATTTCCAAAAGCTGCATTTTAATTCCAGAATTCTTCGAGATTGGCAGATTCATGCAGTTGACAAAGGAGAAAAACTATGGTCTGGAATGCATTTATGAAGGAGAGCATTGCCCTGGATTTTCCCAAATCAGTTTCTTGTCTTTCATGTTGAAGATCATGTTGCTGGTCAGTGGCTTTTCCTGAATGAATTTGCCGGGGGATGGGGGATTCCCTAGCTGTGCTTGGGGGCCCTGAGGACCACTCCCAAGGATTCACAAGCTGTCCTTGCAGGTGTGATGTTCCTTGGCCCCAGGCCGGTTTTATAGTTTCTGAAGTCTTCCAAGTAGACAGGATAGTAACAGACTCTTCATTGCTGTGCCAAGCATTTCGGTCTCCTTTTGTCATTTATGCTCCATTACCCTCTAGGGATCTCCTTCCAGAATTCTGTGAGATTTTGATGAGTGTGTCAAAGTGTCTCACGTTCCATAAACCAGTTGATCTAGACCAGAATTCCCCAGATTTATCTGCCCGACTGCCCCATTTTCATGGAAAAAAAATAATCACCCAGTGCCTCCCCAACCCCAGGAAATTTACCTTTTTAAAGCAACAAACAGAAAGTGACACCCCAGTTCCTCCCAGATCTGCCACCACCCTCCCTGGATTGCTCCAGCATCCCCCAGTGGGTGGTATTATCTACTCTAGGAACCTCTGACAATGGAGTTCTCTTTCAGGAAGCTTCCTGCAAAACATGACCAGTAAATGTAGTGATCCTACTGTGTCAGCCCTGATGTCATCACGTGCAGTGAACTCCCTGGGTTCTCTCCAGAATTAAATGAAAGAAACCATCCAGCCTGTATAGTTCACTTTTGCAAAGAGGACCATATTTTTCTTTATGGTTACTGAGAAAGTGGCAGCAATTACATGGTAGTTTGTAAGAAGGAAGAATCCTGGGAGTTTCTTTTCATGACAGATATTTATGGGAGAAGTATGGAGGTTGATATCATCATTCTGAAAGAGAAGACAACCGAAGTTCACTTTTGAGTTTTATAATCAAATGCCCTTAATTTGCGTATGTTTCCATCTGCAAATTTTCATAACGTTGGAGAATTTGTAGAGTAGGAAAACTGTGATTTGGGTGGTAGCTTTTATATTTAGTGTTTTATCAATGAAATAGTGCATATTTTGTTGGTCTTTATATACATAGTTAAATTACAGCAATACGACTTTCAAAGAACTAAGCATCTTTGTAAATCATGAGCTATTATATTATGAATTTGGCATCAGTAGACATTCATTGCATTTATTTAGTTAGTAGGCATTTAGGTGGAAGTTCATATGGTAACACATTTATGTCCATGTGGATTTTCCTTCATTTACAGATGAGGAAACCTAAGTCATGGGCAGATTAAATAACTTGTCAGAGCTTCCCCAGCTGGAGTTGGACCCATCTGGCTGACAAGTTAGTTTTACTATTATTTCAACAGTTTACCTCTCACAAAAAATAGGGTGAAAAGTGTGCATTCAATAGTTATTTAAATCATTAGTTTATCTGGTGCTAATAAAACCATTGTTCATTTAATAATTAGTACCTACTACTATATTATGTATGGAGAATGTAGAGAATGCAAAAATAGCAACATAGGACATTTTAGAGCCTATGTTTAGTGAGAATTTTGTAAGGCCTCTAGTATTTAAAAACCTTCTGTTTCCATGTTTTAAAGTGCTGGAACTGTCTTTTGTCTCTTTACTCCTGAATTCCAGCTCAGTTCAGGGTAGATATTAAAGAATGCATGAATAAAAAAGAAAAAAGTGAATAAGAATCTGCAATGCTTCTTCATTTTCATTTTTTATTGGAAACTGTTTCCTGAAGAATAAAACACATGCATTTGAAAGAACATTTCATTCTGTAGACAATTTACCAAATTCAATTATCACTTTTGCAAGTAATAGAGAAAGAGAAACATATTGTCTAGGAATTGGAAATAGGGTCATTTGTTTAAAAGTACAGTTACTGTGTTTCCAAATTTGAAAGCATGTATTTAGTATTTTATATGATGGACCAGAGGCTAACTAAGCTGCTTGGATCAGTGTATACATAAAGCATATCTGGACATCTTTAGCTGAGTTTATCACAGATGGTGGGCTTGAAACAGAGAAATCTAAGTTTACCAAACCTCGTTTATGGGTGGTACACAATAGCTTGTATCTTTTCACATGGCACATGAACTTGGAATTTTTGGAAGAAATGCATGACCGTCTTTTCATTTATTAAAATTAGAATTTCACATAATTTCTACTTTACTGGCTTATCCTCAGGATATGATACTTAGATATGTAGCCCGTGACCTAAGAGGAATCAAAATATAGGTGGTTCTACTTCAAGAATGTGTAATAATCCCTTCTCTTTAACACATGAATGTGTTCAATATTGGCGAAGGAACATGTTGCTACCAAAACTGAAATAAGATCCCTGAAACAGAAAGGATGTTGCCATGGAAAAATGAAGTAACACTCCATGCAGCTGTGATGCATTAATGAAGAGGATATTTTTTTAAAAGATCGTTTGTGTTTGGTGTGGCTCAGAGGGTCCCAACCAGATGGTTTCCATGAACATGATCTGACCCCCGTTTTGAGGACTTCTTACTGGCAGATTACTTCATTTTCTTTCCCTTGGATTGTCAGATCCTTACATTAATGCAAAATTTACTGCTGTGGATTTATATTCACGTACATAAATCACTCACCATTTTACATTAAAACCACAATTTTATACATACAGTTTAACAGTTATTTAAAAAGTGTAAAAAGATTTATATGATAGTTTTTGTATATATATAATAGCTGTAGCGTTATAAGTTTGAGCATTTTGGATTGAGTATGTTTTGGTTCTTATCACTGAAGGAATCCTTACAACCTATCATGTTTTAGTAATTTATTGTTTAGAGTTGTTATATATCTCAAACTACTTATAGGCAGCATCCTTGTTTGGGTCATTTTGATTTGGTGAAATAATTTACTGCTGGATTAGCATAATTCTGGAATATGTTGTGAAATTTGGAAATTTTGGCACAGTTTCTAGTTCTCAAGACGTATGTACATATTTGTCTCCCGTTGCTCAAAGCGTTTTACAGTATACCATTAACCTCTAAGTCTAACTAACATCAAATAACATGTTTTCAATGTACCATTTTAATTTGTTTAACTGAATATCACCAAGGAATCAGGGTAAATGTTTTAAAAAACATTAAACAAATTTAAGACAACATACACTTTTCTTATGGAAAAAGAAAACATAAGAAACATATCTTTATCAAAAAGATATCAAATAAATGAATTTTATACAATTAAATGATCTATGCTGTAAGATAAAATTAGTGGTTTATTTTTCACTGATAGTTTGTCTTTTATTCTCACTTAGATTTTTATTTTATTTTTCTTTACTAAATTAATTAGTTTGTTCATGCACAGAGGTGTTTTAGCAAAAATGAATAAATTTTCTTCTTTACTAGAATGGTAAATTATTGTATGGAGAAATTCCAAGTTGCTTAGATTTTTCTTTATGTCCTTACTAAAGAACATTAGCCCCAGGAGAAGGGATTTACTGTAACTTTAGTTATTTTTTATAAAGTGGATTTTTTGGTAATATAATTTGCCAGAATATCCATGCATCTACCAAATTTTTGTATGTTAAATATGCTATAGAAAATTAAGAGATTAAAAATATATTTATATTATATAAATTATTTAAGTCATGCTAAATTAATGTTTCAGATGTTCTTAAACAAACAATCCAAGTACTTTAGGTTGGTTGGATAACCTAATAACCAGGTACAGAATGTTCACCTTATAAGAGCCAACTCAAATAATAAACTTTAATCAACATTGAGAATAATTAAGAAATTATGATTTCAGTTTTTGATTTGGATTTGCTTATTTTAAATCTTATTTTAAATCTCTAAGAGCCTGGAAGCTGCAATACATTTAGGGAAGGGGACCATCACAACTTCAGATGATTTTAAAAATCACAAGCTAATAATTTTAAGTATGATAAAAATAAGAACAGATTTTTAAGTCCTCTGTTTCTCATTACTATCTACTGCCTTCCCCGTCTCTCTCTCTCTCTCATATGTGTGTGTGTGCGTGTGCGTGTGTGCGTGCGTGCATGTGTGTGTACATATATAAACACATATGTGTATGTATGAGTCTTGGTATACATTCATATTTTTGAAAAGTATAAATACAAGGTCTCCTTTAATGTTTATTTAGAGCTATAATTTTGCCTATCTTGTAAAAAATGAAGGAACTAAGTTCACATAGAACCAGTATTTGTGTTTTCTTTTATTAAGTAAAAGCAATAAAGTGCTAGTCAGTTATAAGGCCATAGCTGGTGTTAACAAAATCTAATGAACTGCAAAAGAAGGAAAATTTTCTCAGCTTTTTTGCCAGCACATTTTTTTACTCCATCATGTTTCTTGGAAAGAACTGTGGAAAGGCAGATATGTTTTCATCTTATGTACTGTGCCCTTTTAATCAAATTTATTGCAAGAAACACCTTTTCGGCTCTTGCTCTGTTCTTTTAGTAAAAGTAACTCCCATAGACATATGGGTGGAATGTTTTATTTTTTGGCTCAGTTCTCTTTCATCGTACTTGAGGGTATGTTGGTCCCCATGTAGTCTGATTCAAATATTTTCATTCTGCTTTTCTTTTCTAGCTTGAAGTACAGTCATGTTGTGTGTTCATTCCCAATGGTAGCCTGCCCTCCCCAAGTACAATTGTATCTGGTGACATTCCTGGAACAGTAAGAAGCTGGTACCATGGACAGACCAGCATGCCTGGAACCCTTGTCCTCTGTTTGCCTCAAATAAAAATTCTTAGTGCTGGCCACAAGTGCATGGATCCGCTGCAGGAAATCCCGTTTTCCATTCCACGGCCTATCCTCGAAGAAGGTACTTTTTAGACATTCTTTCTCTTTCATTTTCAGTTTTCTTTTTTAATATACCAGTGCATATGTAAATTAGTATTCCTTATTGGGAGATCACATGAAAATGAGCAAAGGTACGTACAAATATGATCTGAAATTTCTTTACAAAATAAAGAACTGTTATTATTTATTGATGTGTATACCTTTTAATCAGATTCATACATAAGAGAAATGTATAAAAATTGTATTCAATATTGTATAGTCACTAGCTACATTAAAAACTTGAGAAGAGCACTGATTATGTTTTCATTAGGTTGAATTGAGAATCAGTAGCTTGACCTTAATATATATTCTGTATATATTATGACTATAATAAGCTTTAACAATATTATACAGGAACTATACACTTTCTAAATTATATATTATACCATGTGATATTTTAAATAAAAATATGGATTTATAATGTATATAACTATATTTCTACATTTATCATTTAAATATAAAGATGATTGTATGATGATGGGGAAATATTAAGAACTCGTTTCAGTTGCACATTTACCCTTTTGAACTTAGACATTTTTCTAAAACAGCATGTGAACCAAGGGAAGTTTTAATGGCAAAGTAAGTAATGTATGCTATATTTTAATAATAAAGTATGTTTTTGACAGTGTTGAACAGTTCACCATATATTCATATTATTAGGATATAAATATATTTCTGATATTTAGATTATGAGATGTACTGTTACTGAAAAGCAGATACATGTATTTTGACTTGATGCTAATTTTTCTGCCAGAAATTAATATTGGTAACATGAATAGCATGAAAAATACAGAATTGAAAGGTTAGAAGAAAATTCTTTCGAGTTCTTCTCATGTGATCTTTGCTTCGATCCAAGAATTTCTTTCTCCACCATATTATATACATTTGTTACTTGCTCTTGGGAGGGAATCCCTTAGAATCACTGTAACTTTTGTGTGTCCAGTCAAGAGTAAGTTATCCTCAAATGTAATGGGAGAATGCTTTTTATTCCCAACGTCAGAATAAGTTTTTTAACATTTAAATGATTTGTCCTTTGATTAAAATTGTTTTTTAGTGAGGTAACATAGCACAGACTTAAAGGAGTAGAAGTGTTTATTTTAGAGGTTACTATACCAAGCCCACCCCCAGGTGCCAACACGCCTCCACGACTGTGGGTAGCAGTGTCTTCCACTGAGGATGCCTGGTTCAGAAGTTAGAAACCAGTGTTTTTTCACAGTGGTTATGATTGGTTGACCCTACCCTCTTGGCCTGCAGATGTAAACAGGTCAAAGACTGCTGGTGTATAGGATCCTTATAGCCCACTCTTTCCCTCCCTGCAGTAACCGGAAGTCTAAGGTTTGCTTTTATTCGACATTATCTCCATGCTTTATTTATATCCCAGATGTGAAATAGACCCTGCCTTACCTGTCTTTCTCCTCTGACTGACCGCTGATAAGCATCCCATACTCCAGTTCCCTTTTGTTGTCACAAAAGGCAAGAATTACTTTTCTGATTGCTGACTAGTATTCCACTGTGTTTCGGTACTGCATCTTTTTGATCTGCTCATCTGTATGGAGTGCTTGAGTCATTTTGACCTTGATTGATGTCGATGATGTTGCAGTGAAGATAGGTCTGAGCAGATCTTACTGAACTAGTGTGTTTTTAGGGTGGACACCTCAAGGGGGAATTATTGGACCCAATTTTATTTCAAGCCGATACTTGAATAAAGTCTTTAAAGAGATAATTATAATTGTGTAAAATACTTTGTTTTAAAGTGTAAAACTAGATAACTGCTAGTATACTATAAAATTTTAAGCAATTTTATTGTCCTCAGAAGAATAAGACATTAGCCATTACTCTTTTTCATTTCCGCCCATTCCTTTGCGCTCACGAATCTTTTGGACTCTGACTTTGCTTATTCCAGATATTTTATATAAATGTCATCATGCAATGCCTGGTCTCTTGTGACTGACTTTCGTCGCTTACCATAGTATCTTTAAGGAATGGTTGACTCAGACTGTAGCCTACATCAGGCTTTATTTCTTTTTTATGAGTGAATAACTTTTTGCTTTGTGAGGGTTACACTGCTTTCTTAAACTGTTTATGAGGATATTTGGGTTGTTTCTACTTTTTTGGCTGCTTTGGATATTTGGCTCCTGTAATCATTCTTCTGCATGTTTTTGTGTGCACATATTTTAATTTTTATTATCTATATATATATATGCCCATATGCCCAGGAATAAAACTGTTTGGTCACAATCATTTCTTTTTATTTTCTTCTTATAAGGATCCACTGCCAGTCTGTTTCCTTGATGTCAGTTTTCTTTTGAGTCACCATGAGTTACACAGTTACAAAGTTGTTCATGGTTGGATTTCAGTCATACAATGTTCCAACACTCTTTCTTCACCAGTGTAAGTTTCCCACCACCCATGTCCTAATTTTCCTCCTTTACCCCCACCCCAGCCTGCCTCTATGACTCTATGACACTTTCCTCTCTCTCTCTCTCTCTCTCTCTCTCTCTCTCTCTCTGTCTCTCATTTTCTCTCTCTCGTTTTCTCTCTCTCTCTTTTGGGCATTGTGGTTTGCAATACAGGTTCTGAAAGGATGATACCACTTTATCCTGCATCCTTGGCATCATTAAGAATCTTTCTCATCTTTGTATTTTAAAATTTCAGTACTGTTGTCTTTTGTAGATTTCTTAAATTTCATGATATTATCTGATTTTAGCCCCTGCCTCATTCTTTTATGCATAAATACAAGACTCTTCTCTTCTGTTCTTTGCTTCTTTTTATTATATCTTTTCTTTAAAATTTTTTGTCTCTGATTTGCTGGCCAGCATTTTATTTTGGAAAAATATGACCCTCTAACATTTGTGTCTATAAAGGTCCATTTAATTTTTGAGTAACTGTTAAAGAATTCTAATATATAATTCAAAAAATTATACAACTGTTGGTGTACAAGAGATTCATTAACAGTATTGTAAGTCATGGTGCCTAAAATTAAAGCATAAATCTAATTTAAAATGATATATTTTGTTCCATATAGCCAGCACTTGAGTCAAGAATATTACCTGCCCCCAGAGCTTCTCCAGGCCCTGCCAGGTCTGTTCTCCAAAAGGAAATCTATTTAGATATCTAAAACCATAAATGAGTTTCCTGGATCTTGCTCTGTAGAACACTTCATTTTTCAAATTTTAGTTTTTGCTTACTCATTGTGATTGATTTTTTAAATTCAAGACTTTCTGTCTTAGGGCATGAAACAGTCATATTGCATTACTGTCTGCTATTCTCTGAATCTGGCCTCCTGTGCTCGTGTGTTTTTTGTTTTCATTTTTACCACATCTATTTTTCTTGAAAATTTACCTCTAGAAAGCTTCTTCTTGTACAAAATTGAATCTTCTTGTGATTCTGAATGGATTGCTAGTTAAGATTCTTTTTTTAATTATTTAAGACCTTTATTAAAAGGTGCTTACAGTTTGTTGACATTTTTGAAAAAAATCAAGCTGTAAACTTTTTAGTTACAAATTTAAAATGAGGTTCCTAAAAATCTCAACTTGACCAGATATGAGGTAAAGGTAAAAGGTAAAGGCCCTCCCGTTGATCGTCGATTTGCTCGAGCGGGCCCAGTAACGTCTCCATTGGAGACTTTGTTGTTACTGTGTCTGGCATATCGAATACTCTCGGTAGCTTGCCGGGCTCTCCGAGAGGGGCGGAGGAATCGAACTCGGGTTGGCCATGTTGGCCGCTTGTAAGGCGAACGCCCTACCCACTGTGCTATCGCTCCAGCTCCAGATATGAAACAATGTAAAAACCTTTAAAGGTGTACCGAGAAAAACCAGGCTTCTTTTTTTTTTTCTTTTCTCAAAACACACTTGTCATTACCAAAAAGAGACATCTTTCGGTAAAAAATAATAAAAACCTCATACTGCGTAGATAATGCAGATAGTTCTGGTTATCTGGTCAGTGGGCAAAAAGAAAGCACTTAAGGTTTTCAGCTCCGATTTTTTGTTCATTTCTTGTTGCTGGGATTTCATATTCATTTCTTCTTTACGGATGACTAAACCGGATGATGGTAAAGATGGTAAGCCGGCACTTACTCAGCCCCGTCCTGCTCAGGTACTATGTTCAATTCTAGAGGTTGAACCTGGGTTGACCACCTTACCTACTCTCTGTCTCTCTGGTCTTTACTGCTTCTCTCCTTATGATCAGTTCAGATGACATAGGGCTTATTCAGTTTGGCCGTGAAAAGAGTTGTTTGATTTTACCAATTTTATTGGTTTTGTTTTTGTTTGTTTCGGGCTCATACTGATAGTGCTCAGAGACTTCTCAGGAAGTGTAAATTAAAATGAGATAGAACTTCAGATCAGTGAGATGGGCTCACATCATAAAGAACAAAAACACGCAGTGTTGGCATGGATGTGGGAAGAAGGAACCCTTGTCCACTGCTAATTATAATGCTGACAGGGTGAACCTTTTTGGGAAAACTATATAAACACTTCTCAGAAAGCTAAGGATTGAGCTTCTGTACAACCCAGCAATTGTACTTGAGCACCTCTATTCCAAGAGCCAACAACTATATTCCAAAAAATCATTTTTGTTTCTGTGTTCATCACAGCAGTATTTACAATAACCAAAGCACAGGAACAACCTAAAATGCCCAAGAACAGACGACTGAGTATAGAAACCCAGCCAGGAGATAATACAGTCGTATGGTGCTTGCCTTTCACAAGACAGACCCAAGTTTCATCCAGCACCTCCCATGGTCCCCTGAGCCCAAGAATGATCCCTGAGCACAGAGCCAAGAGTAAGCACTGACCATCACCATGTGTGGCCCACAAACAAACTAAAAAACATATACTCTTCTCTCTCTGTGTCTATGTCTATGTCTGTCTGTCTGTCTGTCTGTGTCTCTCTCTCTCTCTCTCTCTCTCTGTCTCTCTCTCTCTCTCACACACACACACACACACACGAATACTACCCAGCTATAAGAAAAGGTGAAACCAT